AGGCTATTCTGTGACAATCTGTGTTTTTGTTACACTTATTTAACCATCTCGTTTCATTTTTATCCAACAGGGAATGAATAAAGACGTTCGAAGATGYCTTACTTGTGTTTATGGCAGATAACAATTTAAGAACAGAAAATAGAGCGGCGTACAGTTACCATCATACCGCAAAGCTGTTATCCAAAGGGATGGATATTCTGTACAGTATCCCTGTATCAATACTATTCAAGTGAAAATAGAAAAGGTGAGTTGTGATATGTGTTTGTGTTCAAAAATATATGAGTATGTATGTGTTTAGTTGTATTAGTTGACTATTCAAAAGTTTTGACTGCCTGTGGTGCCGGATAAGTGCTAAAGATACAACAGGGTGACCAACCCCTTTTCTACACTTGTTCCTAGGCAACTGTTTTTTATTTATGAACACTGAGGGTTTCCTGGTGTAAAGTCTTCTGGTGTGTCCCTCCGTCTCCGTCGTCAGCCAGTACATATCTTAATTAACGCTGTTTTTATTTATGAATACTGTAGCAATTGCCCTATTTCAATATGACGTCACATCAAAACAATTTATTGTTTAAACGCAAAGGATCATGGTCGTCGGAGGGGGTCAAATCAACGTAAATCACTGGTTTCTGTGGTGTCCTGTTATAAGGAAATGTATGGAGATTGATCAAAAATTTCAATAAAATTATTGGAACGTGAAATAAAGCCTCGAAATTTTATCCGATCATTGAGAAATAGGAATAACCACGCAGAGCGAAAGAAGTGTTATTTCTCAATGATTGGGTAAAATTTCGAGGCTTTATTTCACGTTCCAATGACTTTATTGAAATTTTTGATCAATCTCCATACATTTCCTTATAACAGGACACCACAGAAACCAAGCTTGGGCTACCTGTGCGTAAATTCACCGAAAATTGTTCTAAAACCCGTATCAATCCACGAAGAGAAGTAGAATAGCCAGCAAACGCTCAGAATATTTTTTAGTACATATTAACACATATTATATCTGAAAACCAGGCCATTTTAGATTAAACTGTTTCGCTAGGAGCAAATTTTGTTGAATTTTCTATTGGATTTGGCGATTCTTTTCTCCACATAAACAAGCAGTGACGTCATAGGGCAATAGTGAAATAGGGTAATTCCGTGTCCGGAATTGTCATTAACGCATTTATAAATCACAAAATTACCTATATTCTAGTCGCAATTGTTTATATTCTGTTAGCCAATCAGGATCTACTGTATATAATCGCGCTATTCGCAGGGAGTCTCAGAACACGGCTTTGTCTGTTAATTCGCAGACCTAGAGAACGCAGAACGCAGGCTAGCATGTTTGAAAGTCAAATTTACATATTTTTGACTAATTTGCATACGGACTTAGAGCATGCGCAGAACGGTTTTCACTCGTGTAAGTTCATGCTTTGATGATCGATAAAACAAAGTCGAAGCAAATCACCAACGAAGATGATAATTTGATTGACACATATCGATCTTTTCTTAAAAAATAAAATCACTTTTGGAATCTTCCAATGTATTCTTAGCCATAGAGATGCTATAGTTTGCGTCCCACTTTCGACTTATGTTCAATTGTTGAAGGCGCTCAATCAAGAATAAGCACCTAACAATTTAAGCACCTATCAAAAATAAGCACCTAACACACACAATCTCATTTTTTATAGTTACACACATATTTTACAAAATTCTAATAAATTTTTTAAGCTTTAAGCATCGATTTGACTTCAGACATAAATCTGTATTATCGAGATAAAAAGTCTTCAAATTTCTTCTCAAACTTGTTGTTCGTCACTTCGTCCATGATGACTGTAAAGGTTAGAAATCCATCCTCATCAACCTCGGTTTCGTGTACGATTGCTTTATGATACAACCAACTGGAAGAATAAAGAATAACAGGCTTGGCTTGTGATTAGAAATTGTGTTTTGAGAAAAAGACTACAGCGCGGGCGTAGAGTGCATCTCACGGTCCCCTCACAGCTCAATTTACATACATTTACTGTATTTGATAGGTGTCCCTCTCCGCCCGTGATGTAGTCTTCTCCCGTACGTTCCTTTTGAAACCCATTTGGAAGCCATTTTTTTCAATTCCTACCACTTTTAGTTTGAAAACATCATAAAGCTAGATTTTGTATGAATGTGAAAAAACAGTCCTGGACTCGGAGTCCGATAAAACATGCTGAAAAATTACTTTTTCCGCGCGCCACTATTCAGCTTGTGTGAGCGGTTATAAATTGATTCTCAGTGGAACTAGAATAGGTACGAATTTGCCATGCCGTGTTCGTAAAGGTGTATGGACAATATCCTTACGTAATAAGTACCGGCGATTCAATAATAGCGCCGCAAAGAAGGGGAAAGAACAAAATATTACGATGTATAACTAGGATCCCTTACGTGAACTATAGGTCTATCACTTAACTTTATTGAGAAGTATCCCCCCTAAACTGAGTAAGGAGTATCCCTTAAAAGCTCTTTTTTGATGGCTTGTAGAATCCTGGAGGTTGTTTTGATCTCTTGTTTTCTGGTTTGATGTCGTGAAAATAGTCAAATACAATAGTTTGAGGACTTATTTTAATATGTTTTGACTTAGCATCCGCTAGTTGCCCCCCAGTCAACCGCTTGTTTGCCCCCCCCCCCTCCCCCAGGCAACTCCAAAAAGTCACGTGATTGATAGTAAGCAATAGATAGACCTCTTTACCTTGGGCGTAATGTTTTACCCATTCCAGACCACGTGTCATTCTCTGTAAGAGATTGTAATAAGATTCTTTGTTTGTGTTGTATCCATATATTCATGTGTCTTCTCATGTGCAACCGATAAACAAAGGAACGATACTCTAGGGAATGACACATTCTCTGAAATGAGAAAACTTAACGCCGAAACTAATTAAGAGATCGATTAGAGTAATTGGATTATTTTGGCGCGCAGACCCCTCACACTATCGAACTCAACCTGTGAGGGAGAGTGTCAACTTTTATTTCTTCTTCAGAGAGTTGAGGACTCTTCAAATGTTTGGAATTTTTTATTGTCCCATGTACGAACTGGCCGACCTCCAGGACAGTATTCAATACAAGGGGTCTGCATGAAGAAGTAAGGTACAAGAATGTACAAATATAAAATGTATTTGCGTCAAAATGGCTGAATTTTTTGTCTCCGAAATGGTGAACAAAAGTCGCAGTTAAATAGTGATGTAAGACAAAATATATGCAGTCTGATATCAGCTGGGGCGACGCCTGTAAGCGACAAAGCGTCGATTCAGAAAGCAATCTCTAGCTCAGAAAATATTTGAACAATTTCATAATTAGTGATGATTTTTTAATTTTTAATTTTGAAAAAAAAAACTTTTTTGAAGACGGTTTTTTTTGAGTCGCTAACAAAGTAAAGTTTTTCCTTAAGCTAGTAAAGTTTTCCTTAGTTGGACATATAGTAACACCCTAAACTTCCATAAATAACGTCTAGCTCCTGTAGCTAATGTAATCCTTTAAACAAGTTCTATAAATGACCTTTAACTTGTAGATAGATAACAGTTCGTCGATAAACCAAATTCCTTCCTCAGGTATTTTTATTCCGGATTAAATTTAATCATGAAAAGCGTGGAATGTTGGATTTTCACGACTGGAGTCCCTCTATCCCTGCAGCGCCACGCCGTCACGCGACAAGTATGTAACTTAAAAAAAACATTCGAGGAAATCAAACCCCGGTAGCGAGCAAGGAATCGCTATTGGAGACATTATCATTAGATCTACGGACATTTTTTATTATTTAACCCTGATAGCAACGAACACGTAACTATAGGACACAAACCCCAAGAATGTCACTACTACACATACGAATGTAACAAGCACACGAGGCTAACATGAACAGCATTACATATAGGGTCGTGTACGAACACGGGAAGTAACCGCAAACCGTTATAGTCATGACGAGCTATGTCTACCAATTGTGCTGAAAAACGATATATAGACTTTTGTAGGGGACTTTTTGGCGAAGTATTTTTGCCCACAAATATTATGTATGTAGTTTTGAGAAGTAATTTCCTCATAATTGTATTGCTTTAATTCTTTAATCTTGTTTTTCTTTTTTTTTTTTTTTTTTTTTTTTTTTCCAATTTCATAACTAATTCTATTTTTTTGTTTAACAGTTGCGGACAAGAAGACACATGAATATGGATACAACTCAAACAAAGGATCATTCTCAAGGAAATAACACGTGGTCTGAAATGGGAAAACATTTAGGTAAAGGTAAAGAGGTCTATTAGAACATATGGAAAATACTCCTATTTTGTCAGTCCTAATTCTTTTCTCCAGCCATCGATGTCTAACGTCACGTGTCAATATTACGTCCACCACAGGATGACATTCGCACATGACGTCACAATAGAGTCAATCTTTGCTGTATTGTAGTGGTGAGTGGTTGGCACTCTTCCTTCCTGTGAGTGGGATTAATCCATGGTATTTAAAGCAAGGCACAGTGATATGGATTGCTATATGCTGCTGAATTTGAACGCCGGGCGAACCAAGTTGGATCAAAAAAATTTTAAAGGTAAGCTTGGGGATTTCATTAGTGTTTATTAGAATATTTGGGCAAATTGGAGTGGAGCCGATAAAGAACGAGAGACATAGATTAAACTATGTCAAAATCTTTCTTATTCCCAAGCGGTTAGCTCTGCAATAATTGAGTGGTCATGGTTGATTCGCCAAGCGTTTTATCATTATTTTGACAAAGCGATGAAATATAATGAATATTAATGAATGAATATCTCAGGCGCACTTTAATATACGCGTTATGTAATTTTTTCTACTTCGTTTAGTAAGTTCTTGGTGAGTTTGTATTCGAATGTAAGTTCATAAAAAATAAATCCATGAATCCTCTACGAACGGACAAACGCACGATCGTACTTCACTGACAAAGCCGGGTTCTACTATTGTTTGGTACTGATAAACAGAACTAAACTACTGATAAACTAAACAGATGAGACCACGAAATAATTCAATAGAAATATAGCGTAGTTTAAACAAAATACATATTATAATATTATATTAGACAACATTTAGTTTTGAATGTCATTTCCGTCGACCATTCGTTCTGTTTTACGAATCATTCTTTTCCTGCGACAAACAATTCAGTGTTGTTTAAAAGTGCACGACAAAAACTCTTTAAACTCGTAAAATAATTTCAGCGTCTTGTAACATCCAGGGAGTTGGCAAACGGGAAGGGATAGAGGGGGTGGTTAGAGAAGGGGAGAGAAGAAAATTGAACAATGCAAGAGGAAGAAGATATCTTTTTACTTCAATAGACCCCTTCGGCTCTGACGTAATGTTTTCCCATTTCAGACCATATGTCATTCCCTAGAGTATCATTTCTTTGTTTAAGGTTTGCGCTCGGTTGCGCATGCGAAGACACATGAATATGGATACAGCTCAAACAAAGAATCTTATTCTCAAGGGAATGACACGTGGTCTGAAATGGGAAAACATTACGTCAGAGCCGAAGGGGTCTATTCCGTACAAATCCAAAAATATATTTTTAAATTGACGATTAAAGTACAAAATGTCCCAAGGGGGTAGGGGTGGGTGAATAATTTCCCACTAAACTTCWCTTCCGCTTGGTATTCTACTTCCGGTTCTAACCTACGTCTAACGGAGAGTGGGAGGTGGCTGCACCAATCGTAAGTCAACCATACGCATATCAGAATATAAAAATAGACTTAGTTTGAACTTTTTTATTCTCATAGACCATTTTCAAATTCCAAAATGACCACTTTGTTTCTTTATAACATTTACTCAAGGTTAGCTTCATTTCAGCAGCAGAATATCCACAAATATTAACGATAAAACAAAAAAATAAAATGTACAACTTGATCAATACGAAATCTCACAAAATCTCCTTCACTGGAACACATATCGTCAATATTCTACATATAATCAAGGCTTACTCTCTGAGCAACAGTGACTGATTCCAAACTGGAGTACTAAGCTTGAGCTCTATTGCTTCACTTCTAAAAATAAATAAAAAAATGATAAAACGAAAACAAATACGAAAAACACAAAAAAATTATATAAAACGTAAGTGCTAGATATAACAATGACATATATATTTTACTCTTATCCATATCTTGAAAATGTACGCGAAAATCTGTCTGTCTGATAAAATATATAAAGAATCTTTTCGGGATATTTGAAAAGCTTTTAAGTGCTGTTTTAATGGTTTAGCTTCGCGGAGTACGTAAATCAGACAATAGAGGCGCGAAAACACGGTGAAAAATTGCGCGCAATATTGCAGGCAATGTTGCTGAAGTAGGATTGTTTGTTACTTATCTACAGCAACGTTGCGTCCAACAAATTGCGTCGTGTGTCATGCCTCGCAACATCAATTGAATGCAACATTGCGCGCAATGTTGCACCGTGTGTCCGTACTTTAGACCTCCTCGGCTTGGGTGTAATGTTGTCCCATTTCAGACCATGTGTCATTCCCTTGAGAATGAGATTCTTTGTTGAAGTTGTATCCATATTCATGTGTCTTCTCATGCGCAATTAAGCACAACCGTTTAACATAGAAACGTGGTCGGAAATGGGATAACATTACGCACGAGCCGAGGAAGCCTATACCAATCCTTCCTTCAGTTCCTTCCTTGCTCGATGCGTGGATAAAGCAAGCCTTTGTGACGGGTTTCTTTACTATGAATGGTATATACCGCTGAATCTATATATAGATGACGCGGTGCTATTTTAAATTAGCACGTGTTTGCGCACGTGACTGTATTGTTTAAGTCAGTATGGCCACTGCATTATCCTATTCTAATTCATATTTTAACAGCCTCGTTACCTTAGGACAAGTTATAACCACTTTCAAACCACGTGTCATTCTCTAGAGTATTATTCTTTGTTTAACGGTTGCACACGATAAGACACATTAATACGAATACAACTCAAACAAAGAATCTTATTCTCAAGAGAATGACACATTCCCTAGAGTATCATTTCTTGACACATTAATACGAATACAACTCAAACAAAGAATCTTATTCTCAAGAGAATGACACGTGGTCTAAAATGAGAAAACTTTACGCATAAGATAAAAAGGCTCCAAAATCGATGGTCAAACGCAACATACTTCACGAAAAAGATACTTCACTTTAAAAGATACCTGAGGGAATCCAAATAAGAATTTTTTTGGTAATACAAAACTTTGCTAATCTAGGCTAGATGACTACGAATATTCTCACCAATCACAGTAGGCTATATTGTAATGCATTAATATAATCCTCGAAACGGCACGAGACGTCCGTAGATTGTTTATTGTGGTGTTTCGCAATATTGAAATTTATAGTAATATTTCCTGACAAACAGCGCCTTCCCTCGGGACATTTTTAGGCTGATTTTAAGAACTTATTACTCTTGATCTTGAACTTGGTTCTCAGAGACACCGACGTCATCTAGGGCGTATTCAAATGACTCAATCTAGTTGACCTTATTAATTAATAGCTAAATGGGGCCTGCGTCTATTAGATTTGACCTCAGATTATAACTTTACCACAGGGAGCCCGTATATACAACTCCAACGAGCTATTCTGACTTGCTCTGCAGCGAGCTTCCGCCGTCTTAACCAATCAAAAGCAAGAATTYAAAATATGCGGCTTTGTTATCCAATCACAATGCGTCTTTTTTACCAATTATAATAAATTTCAAATTGTCTCTCTTTTAAACCAATTAAAAACGAGAAAATATATTTCGCTGTCCAATCACAATGCGAGTCRATTTGAAAGCCATTGGAGTGTTCAGTGCTGTGGGTGTCAACTAGGGTTTTCAAGGGTTTYGACAAGGAATACATATTGTAAAGCAAAACAAAAGCAATGCAAGAAGTGCAGAGGTACAATCCTTCCTCACCCTCCCCTCCCACCATAAAACTTACCTTTACAATCACGACTTCATGGGCAAGGAAAACGTCGATTGGCATGTTTTGAGCTGTTGTCTATCGCCCTTACTAGAAATATTAATGGAGTTCATCTGCTGAGGATCGAGTTGAAACCCAAACTTCATCTCTTCTAGTTGACCTTGATTTTATAATTTAGCCTTGAGCCTTGTTTAAACAACACACACCCAAGCAACTGTTATCACTGATAACAAATCTTGCTTTATCGATAAGTTAGTTAAATATAGCTACTCTATTGTAAGTTAACTGATTGAGGAGTATCTCTCGAAGTTTTTTCCCCTTTACTCATGCCATTTGTACATCAACAAGATAGATTGGATCAATTAAAAGYCAAGAGATATTTCAGAGAGTAATGTTAGTTTATGATAATTCAAGTGCATTTTGCCCAGCCAGAAAAACAAAAACAAAAACAAACAAACACCGAAAATGTGCTGTGACCGTAAGCAGCTATCGTTGTGCGTAAAACGGATGTTAGGAGAACAGCATTTACGTTCATTTGGTTAAATTTGTTTCATCGATCTTCAAATAATTGCTTTATTTTACCCTGAAGGTTTTGACCTACGCGTTAAACTTCAGGGTAACAAACTCGTTACGATTCCGTTACGACCTGGGTATAAGAGATATAAGATAGACTTATGATCATTTACGAAAAACGCGCGCGGTCAATCAGTGGGGCAATCAGTCGCCAGTAGCAAACTGAACTTTTATTGCATTCATGAAAAAGGTTTTAACCATATATCTTTTCATCCGGACTAAAAAAGTACATAAATGGGAGACTGCGGATAAGTTCATATTCCTTTGTCATTTGTCAAACTCACCCAGTAAAAAGACTCCGTGTAAGTCAAATGCTGCAGTGCTAGACTACCTGTGTCAAAACTCGATGATGTGAGTTGGCCGAACTTGAGCAGCTCAGTAATAAAAATAAAAA